TTGTCTTCAAGTAACTCCTTTCTGTTAGGACATCTAAGGGAACAAGAAGTGTGAGAGCACCTTAGTCCTTAGAAGTAATAATAATAATAATAATAATAATAATAATAATAATAATAATAATAATAATAATAATAATAATAATAATAATAATAATAATAATAATAATGGATGTGGCAGTGCCTGGAGACAGCAGAATAGACGAGAAAGAACTGGAGAAGATAACAAAATACAAAGACCTACAAATAGAAATAGAAAGACTGTGGCAAAGGCAAGCAAGGGTAGTACCAATAGTAATAGGCGCCTTGGGTGCAATCCCAAAACAACTGGAGCACCACTTGAACACCATTAGCATTGACGAATTTGTCATTAGTCAATTGCAAAAGGCAGCCTTACTAGGAACTGCTTCCATCCTGCGACGATATCTGTAATACCATGAAATATCCACATCTGCCTATCCCAGGTCCTTGGTAAGGACCTCATAGGTAGACAAAAATGCCAAATCCAGTCTGAACATCTGGCTGACTGTGCGATGATGATGATGATGATAATAATAATAATAATAATAATAATAATAATAATAATAATAATAATAATAATAATAATAATATGATGATGATGATGATGGTGGTGGTGGTGGTGGTGGTGGTGGTGGTGGTGGTGGTGGAAGGGACCTTGGAGGTCATCTAGTCCAACCCCTGCTCCGGCAGGAAACCCTATACCATTTCGGACAAATGGCTGTCCAGTCTCTTCTTAAAAACTTCCAGTGATGGAGCATTCACCGCTTCTGGAGGCAGGTTGTTCCACTGGTTAATTGTTCTAACTGTCAGGAAGTTTCTCCTTAGTTCTAGGTTGCTTCTCTCCTTGATTAGTTTCCATCCGTTGCTTCTTGTCCTGCCTTCAGGCGCTTTGGAGAATAGCTTGACTTCCTCTTCTTTGGGACAGCCCCTGAGATATTGGAAGATTGCTATCATGTCCCCCCTCGTCTTTCTCGTCATTAGACTAGACATACCCAATTCCAGCAACCGTTCCTTATATGTTTCAGCCTCCAGTCCCCTAATCATCTTTGTTGCTCTTCTCTGTACTCTTTCTAGAGTCTCAACATCTTTTTTACATCGTGGTGACCAAAACTGGATGCAGTATTGCAAGTGTGGCCTTACCAAGGCCTTGTAAAGTGGTATTAACCCTTCACGTGATCTTGATTCTATCCCTCTGTTAATGCAGCCTAGCACTGTGTTGGCTTTTTTGGCAGCTGCAGCACATGGCTGGCTCATATTTAAGTGATTGTCCACTACAGATAGTCTCTTACCACAGTTCATTTAAGGACCGTTAAAAGTTACAACAGCACTGAAAATACGACTTACGACCGTTTTTCACACTTGCGGCATTCCCCATGGTCCCGTGATCAAAATTCAGACAATATGGCGACTGGTTCATATTTATGACGGTCGCAGTGTCCCGGGGTCACGTGATCCCCTTCTGCGACCTTCTGGTGAGCAAAGTCAATGGGGGAAGCCAGATTCGCTTAACGACCACGTTACTAAATTTACTAAGGTTGTAAAATGGGGCAAAACTCACTTAACAAATGTCTCGCGTAACAGCAGAAAGGCTGGGCTCCGTTGCAGTTGTACGTTGAGGACCACCCGAATTTGTTAGTGGTGAGATCCTGACTATAATCGAAGTTTACTCCAGTGTTTTCGTGTCTCTTTGTTGATTCGTTGTCTTAAGTAACCCCTTTCCGTTTGGAGGTTTGTTTGTTTATTTTATTTATTTAGCGTATGGCATCTCACACGTGGACTAGCAATATATCTATTAACATTTAATCTAGATTAGTAGAACCCAATAAAAGTTCAAAAAAATCTATGTTCAAATGCCAGAGTCTTTAGGCCATTGAATAGTTGAAGCGCAGCATGGTTTATATGAAAAAAAATCAGATACTGGACCGGTGGATGCCCTCCGCTTAGGATGTGATCTATAGATTGACGGGGGATCACGCAGTCCCACTGAGGGGAGGATATTATGCCTGATTTAGGAGATCTAAGATCTAAGTTCCCCTGTTAGGAGTTCTAAGAGAACAAGAAGTGTGAGAACACCTTAGTAATTAGCACTGTTTTAGAAATAACATTACTACATCCCGATCATGTTATTCGGCATGGATACTAGAACATCCATCTTTCAGGTGCTGAAAAGTGGTCTTGAAACGGGATTTATTACAGATATGCAGACCATTTTCTGGGATTCAGGAATTATCTTTTTGGTTCTTCTCTGCTGATAAATTACCCCCCCCCCTTTTTTTTTTT